CCATGAACAACTTTTCACCATTTGTAACTGGTGCAAAAGTAGTGGACATGCTCCTATTGGAGCAGACATGGCAAGTGGCCCCAATGTCTAGCCACCACTTCTTTGGGTTAGACCCTACCAGGTTAACCTCACTAATCACCGCCGTGAGGTTTAGCTCAGACATTTCATCTGAGAGATGATCTCTTTCATTTCCAACCATATTAGCCTGAGGACACTGCTTATTATCCCTCCAAGGCTGACGACAGTCTACTGATTGATGCCCAACTTTATCACAATTAAAGCACTTTCCATTGAATTGGAACTTAGGTTTCTTTCCTACCCCACCTGTAGGCTTCAACTGAGACCCTTTCGTAACCTATTTTTTATCTTTTCGATTTTCGTTACTCTGTTTGGTTTTAAAAGAGTGAACTTTCTTAGTACCAGAACTTTGGTCGTACTCCAATACATTAGCCTTCTCGGAGTAAGAATTCTCTGACTTACGTTCATCCCGTTTGTTATCCTCCTCAATGCGCAGCTTGATAATTAAATTCTCGAAGGACATCTCTTTCCTCTTATGCTGCAAATAGCTTTTGAAAGCCTTCCACTGAGAAGGTAACTTGTGAATAGCAGTAGCCACCTGTAGAGATTCTGACATGGTCAGACCCTCAGCATGCATTTCTTGCAAAAGCACTTGATACTCCTGCACTTGGCTTACTACTGAACGTGAATCAATCATTTCGAAATCCATACATCGACTGGCTAAGAATTTCTTAGATCCAGGATCCTCAGTCATGTATTTCTTTTCTAAGGACTCACAGAGCTCCTTAGCAGACTTCTTTACCACATATACATGATACAGAGAATTATGTAAGCCATTCAAGACATAGTTGCGGCACAAAAAATCAGCAATTTTCCAAGCGTCCCAAGCTGCACGCCTATGCACATCAGTGTCATTTTCAGCCACGATAGGGGCATCCTTAGTGAGGAAACGTGCAAGACCCAACGTAGTGAGATAGAAAACCATCTTATTCTGCCACGTTTTAAAATCAATACCAGCAAACTTATCCTGTCGAATTGCATGATTCACTGAAAATGGAGCCAAAAACGATGGCAAAGGTGCCGAAGCCGTAGCCCTAGGCACTGGCAAAGGTATTGTGCCAAACTGGATTGCCGAGGCAGCAACCGAAGGTAAAGTTGGGTTCACTCCAACATGAGGAATCCCGCCTCCAATTATCCCGTCAATGGGAGAAATGTCAGTCGTGGTCTCCAGAGGGTTAACAACGGTCATTGCAGGATTTGGTACACCGATACCAACAATGTTGCTTCCGTTGTTCACATCGTTATTTCTATGTGACGTCATTGAACCGGAACAAGCAACAAATAATTTAGAATAATTATAAGTTTGTAAAGTGGTATATAAATTCGAGATCAAATTATCTGTTCAGAGAATAAAACTGCAGAGTTGAAGAACGGATTATTTTGTCAAATTATTAACAACTTAACAATCATTTAAAATGAATTAGAAATCATGCAAAAATCATGAACTGGAAAAATTGACAAAAACTAATGAACAAAATTTGATTTACTAAAACCAATTCGATTTAAGTTTGTAGGTAAATATTAGAGAATCAAATCAAACCGAATGCCTGTGTATTCACAGTTTCCTTAAATCGAATTCGTCGCCTCGTCGGAGTGCAAGAGGTTTTGATCGGTGTTCGATTCCCAGGATACAATCGGTTGTCGGTTCACGCTGCACTACGTTAACCGCATGCGAACTAGCTATGATATACTCTATCTCACAAAGAAATTATAAGTACAAGGAAGAACTTGAAAGTGAGAAAAAGAAGATTGTTGCTTAGAGAAAGAAGCTTGCATTTCACTTGTGATTTTCCAACCTAAAGAGACTCCTATTTATATCAATGGAGTAAAAGCTAGCTCATTAATCAATGAGTTAAACCATTCATTGATAAATGAGTTAAAAATATGAAGGGACTTGAGTTACAACATATGAAGAGACTTCTATTCAATATTTTTCATTAGTTCTAATCAATATTTTTCATTCAATTCTAACAATAATTACGTTTGTTAATTATTTAAAATACTTTTACCAGTCAAACAACATAGTAATGTAATTAAAACATATTATCGTGAAAATAAATTGAACTTTTTATCTTGACGGGTTTGTTTACATTGTAATGGCGTTTATTAATTGTACTTTTATCTTTTACATTTTGCATGTTTAGCTCTACGAATACTATTTCTCTTATTGGTAATTTTTCATGGTGTTATCAGAATATTTTTCACAATATAATAATATTTATTTCTTTTAGTATTTTTCAACAAAAATGGATCATAAATTTAAATTATTTTGGAAAATATACTAGTGAAATTTCTGTTTAGTTGCAATTATGGATCTACTTGTTATTCGGAGTAGCGTTCTATTTAAATGAATTAAATAATATTTATTAACTTAGCTGTGCCTACAAATTAATGTTGCACTTAACCAACTGAATGAAAATATGATGTTTCCACTTCTACCATATTTTATTTTATTTTTTTGGAGTTATGCAATATTTCAACGATCATAGTAGTAAATTGCGTTTCAACAATTTTTATATGGTAAAATAGTTGCATTCCAACAAGACGTGTTTAGCGGTTCTTTTATGAATATTGTTGTTTGACACTGTTAGTATTAGAACATCGATGGTGGCATTAAGTGATATACTTAATAAAAGGTAGAATTAATTCATTCATTTAATTATATATCTTATTTAATGTCACGTTAGTGCTACCAAAACTGATGTTTAATATCGGTTCTGCTAAATAAGTTATACTATAAGTACAGAAAAAGTTTGATATAATTTTTACAAAAGAAGGCTTGACAATTTTTCAATAATTTTGGCACAACAGTAGTGAAAAATGCACCATACGGGTGCTGCTAGCGTAGGGAATTATTCAGTGCTAAATTGCATTACTCTTTTATATATAGCCCTTGTTTGAGCGTCATTCTTCGAGAAAAATACATTCTTAAATAGTATTTTGATATTATTTCAATACACATTTTTCAATAAAATAATATTATACGCAAATTCAAAAATTTTCTTATTTTTTAGCTACATATTTTCCATCAATGCACTATTTAAAAATGTATTTTTCCTGGGGCTCAAACAAGGGCACGTACACACATACAAATTCACCATAAATTAACCCCTAAAGTTGTTGAAACTACATTATGTATATATGATTTGACAAGGATTTAGAAATCTTTTCGAAAGTAATTATACTGTAAGGATTCATCTATTTAGGTAAAATAAAAAAAATAAAAAATAGAACCATATATTTTCATAACCAATGAATGACAATACAAATTTTTAATTATATTTCTTTATTTTCGACCACCCAAATTTTATATTTTTGTTGCGTCATTTCTTTTTTTTTTTTTTTTTTCAAGCAACGAAATAAGAAAAAAAATTCAGTAGACTTGATTACATATCTTTATAAACAGATTGAAAAAGAAAATTGAACGAAATTTAATGATGGGAGGATAGATGCTTTCAATTTTATTTTTGAATTTTTAACCTATTTCCTACATGGGACACTTTTTTAGACAAGTCCACGAATTACATTGATAGTTTTGTGGTGCATAATGTAATTTTCTAAAGTTAAGTGCAAGAAATATAAATATAAATAAATTTCTCAGAGGTTTGGTGAAACCGTCCTTCCCGCAAAAATGCAAAGACCAAAATTGCACCGACCTCAAACAAATCAAGAATTTGCCAATTGGGAACCACTGGTTTTTTGAACTGCCACGAAAAATTAATCTAACGATCTAAAAAAAAACCTCAAAGAATACGAAAATAAGCAAAAAGAAGGAAAAAAAAAAAAATCAACAAATTTTTGAAGTGGAGGGGGCGGTTCTGCGTAGAAAGAATATGCCATCTTATAAAAGATGGTTCCTTGCAGACATTCTGGGAAATATGCCAAGTCGTTTCTCAATCACCCACTTTTGCATACCCACATGCCTTTTTTCTCTTCGTCGTTACTCTCTTTCCTCTTCCTTCATTCAGGTACCCCTCTCTCTCTCTATATATTATATTTAGTCTATAGATACACTTATTTTATTATGATCTTGTATAAAATTGGTCTGTATGTAAAGTTGCGATCTTTTTGACAAGCATTTAATGTTTTCTTGGAGTTGGATGTGTTGCTTTTGGAATGTGATGGTGGGGCTTTCAAATGTTTTGTTGTGAAGAAAATAAGAAAAAATCAAGTCTTGGGACATCACTTTTCTGTAAATCTTATTTTGCGCTAATTGGATTCTTGAATTTATAATCAGTTTGCTGGTAGTGCCACAAAGTTTATTTTTATGATTAAGTTGTTTTTTGGTTTAATTATTACAGTGGTTTTTATTAATCCATTTTGTTTCCCTTCTTAAATAATATGAGTATTGCTTTCTAGTCTTTTACTTTTGTAATTTGGCCATTTTGGGATTAATCATAATGTCTAATGAATAAGTATTGAGTATTATTCTTGGGAGGTTTTAGTATCCATTTAGTTCAGTTCTATTGGTGGGAGTGGGACAGTGTACGAAAACGATTTTCTTGATAAGTGGGGG